CAGCACAAGATCTCTTATGAAGATGGAACATATCGCTCCCCTCTCCCTCTGGTACCTCCCCCACAAAGGGTCAAAGTTTTGAATACCCATGAAGCTCTTAAAACGCGAAATGAACATTCGATTCCATTCAGACTTGACACATCTCAATATTTCTATCAACACGAGATCTTTTATAAAGATGGTAGAGATCGGATCATTCCCTCTGGTACCTCTCCCACAAATATGGAATAGAAATAACTCTAATAAAATATTAAATAAGCATTGCTTATTGCCCTTTAATTCCACACATCCCAGTATTTCTGTTACCTTTCCTGGTACCTGTCCCACAACGGGTCGAAATTCGGATTATTTATGACTCTTATAAAATTGCGAAATATGCATCTTATTCTCTTCAAATATCGCGTATTCCAATATTTTTACTAACGCAAGATCTGGTGTGAAGTTGATATATATCGGCCTATCCTTCTCCCACAAAGAGTCACAATTTACAATATGTATATCTCTCATAACTTGCGAAACTAAATCCGGTACCTCATAAACTGTCATAACTGAGGGTATACATCTGTCTTGTTTTTATACCTTCCACCATACATAGTATGGAGGGCATATTAACTTTTTGAAATAATAATTTTAGACCCAACAGAGTATATATATTCTTGATCAACTTAAAATTCTAAGACGATTTAGTCCTGTCCGTCCGTCCGTCTGTTATAATCACGCTACAGTCAAAACGAATTAAGATAGGAAACTACAATTTTGCACAGATCTGTCTTTTATTTGCAGGCAGGTCAAGTTAAAAGATATCGGTCCACGATATCGTATATCCCACATATAACGGCACCTCCCTATATTCGGTATTTTGATGATTTTAGCCAAATTTTCCAATGGAATTATCTGAAATTCTACAGAAGGAGTTCTTTGTGAGTACTTTACACCTTGACAGAGAATTGCCTATATAGGTCCACGATATCGTATATCCCCCCATACAACGGTACGTCCCGATATTCGGTATTTTGATAATTTTAGCCACATTTTTCAACGGAATTGTCTGAAAATTCACACAATTCCTTGTGACTACTTTACACCTTGAAAATGAATAGTCTATATAGGCCCTTGATATCAAATAGCCCCATATAACGGTACCCCCGATATTCGGTATTTTTATGATTTGAGCCAAGTTGTTCAATGGAATTGTCTGAAATTCTACACAAGGAGTTCCTTCTGATAACTTTACCCCTTAGAAGAAAATTGTCTAAATAGGTCCACGTTTTAGTATAGCGCCCATATAACGGTACCCCCAGGTATTCGGTATTTTCATGATTCTTGCAACATTATTCACAGGAATTATTTCAAATTTTGTATATAAAGTTCGAAACCGTTTCTACAACCTATGACACAAATTGCTTATACATGACCACGTCTTCGTATAACCCCCATATAGCGGTTTTCATACGAGCGGTATTTTACGACAGAATTTTTTTGGAGAATTTTCGAGTTTCTTGCAAATGGTGGAGGGTATAAAAATTAACAACTCCAGGTCTTTGAAAATATATTCATAAACATCGTAGCGCCTAACAAAAATATGAATATGTGCGAAAAGAGGACCAAATCTTTGAAACCCCAAATATAAGTTCAATGACGGTAAATCTCATATTTCGATCCGGAGTTTTCGAAATGTTGGCCTTTTTCATCTTTTATAGTACTGAAAATAAAAAAAGGCAGTAAACAATATTGACACGCACCATCAGGTTCCCGAATCTTGAATCAATGCGGTCCTCTCTTTAACTAACCTTCTTCAATATATTGACAAATGCAAACAATTGTAGCCTTGTGAAAAAAATAGGTGTCAACTTTCGATGTTTTTCTTATTACCCAAACATTGTTTGAAGCAGACAGCTATCTCTAACCGACGTATTCAGAGATATTTTTTGTGAAAAAAAAAAAACAAATTTGGCTCCGATAATTATCTAGACGATATATTTTTGGGAATTCTATTTTTAATTGAAACTATTTGAATTTTATCACGTGGTTCGGAAAAGAATAACACATAAAATATGCAATGCGAAACTTCAAAGAGATTGGAAGGGAAGGGGGATTTTTGTATGAACTAAATAAGAAATTGAATTGGAGATGGAGAAAGTCGATATTACAATTTAATCAAATCAAATTAAGGATATACGGTTCTGGTCTCTCTGGGAGTATTTTAAGGAAATATCAAAGAGCTAGCCTTTTTCTGAGAGCTTTGGACCAAATATGAGTGTCTTAATCAGCAATGCCTGTTCAAAAGTTTTTGTCCATCAATTCAAAAATTTAATGTCTTAATTATTTTACCAAGACAAAAAAAAAAAAACAACTTCATTTCAATACCTCTCCTAGTCAAATTGGCAATGTGGTGTATACAGACCCAGCTAACCCACTTTTAGTGCGGCTAAGAAAAAAAAATTAATATCTCTCTATTTACAAATAATCTCTGTGCGTGCAAAAAGTGTGTCGGGGAAGGGGTTTGGGGCACGTTGTTGTTATTTTCATTTGCTGGCAAATATTTACATTTATAATTATGGCTAGAGCGTAGACCATGATTCTTGCGTGCCGGTCGTGTGGTCTTTCGTTAGATTGGCGAATAAATTAATAAAATTCCCGCTTGTGTGAAAACGCTTTCTCTTAACCGGAATTTGTTGCTAAAACACTTGTGGTCCCAAGGCAAATTTTTATTCATTTTTGCAGCCCAAAATAACTACCAATTTTGGGTTATGGCAAAGTTAAGAGATAATTTGTGTTTAATCAAGAGAATCGATTCTCGGTTTATTGGCAATTTTTACTATTTATGCAAAAATATGTTAATTATGGGGGACGGACGAAAGGTTTTCTGCTAGATTCCGGTGGCTTTCTAAATTCAGTAAAAGTGAAAACAATTGAGTAATTATTTGAGAGGCATAGATTTTGATGGTACTTGGGAGGCACATGATTTGATAGGATTCCTTGAAAAATTTATTTAAAAATCCACGATTAGTCCTTGGAAAAATTTATTTAAAAATCCTCGACTATTCCTTGGAAAAATATATTTAAAAATCCACGATTAGTCCTTGGAAAAATATATTTAAAAATCCTCGACTATTCCTTGGAAAAATATATTTTAAAAAATCCACGATAAGTCCTTGGAAAAATATATTTAAAAATCCTCGACTATTCCTTGGAAAAATATATTTTAAAAAATCCACGATAAGTCCTTGGAAAAATACATTTAAAAAATCACTATTAGTCCATGGAAAAATTTATTTAAAAATCCACGATTAGTTCGTGAAAAAATATTTTTAAAAATCCACGTTTGTTGATCCTTGAAAAAATATTTTTAAAAATCCACGTTTGTTGATCCTTGAAAAAATATTTTTAAAAATCCACGTTTGTTGATCCTTGAAAAAATATTTTTAAAAATCCACGTTTGTTGATCCTTGAAAAAATATTTTTAAAAATCCACGTTTGTTAATCCTTGAAAAAATATTTTTAAAAATCCACGTTTAGTCCTTGAAATCCACGTTTGTTGATCCTTGAAAAAATATTTTTAAAAATCCACGTTTTTTGATCCTTGCGAAAATATTTTTAAAAAATCCAGGTTTGTTGATCCTTGAAAAAATATTTTAAAAAATCCACGTTTAGTCCTTGAAAAAATATTTTTAAAAATCCACGTTTAGTCCTTGAAAAAATATTTTTAAAGATTCCACGTTTAGTCCTTGAAAAAATATTTTTAAAGATTCCACGTTTAGTCCTTGAAAAAATATTTTTAAAAATCCACGTTTAGTCCTTGAAAAAATATTTTTAAAAATCCACGTTTAGTCCTGGAAAAAATATTTTTAAAAATCCACGTTTAGTCCTTGAAAAAATATTTTTAAAGATTCCACGTTTAGTCCTTGAAAAAATATTTTTAAAAATCCACGTTTAGTCCTTGAAAAAATATTTTTAAAAATCCACGTTTAGTCCTGGAAAAAATATTTTTAAAAATCCACGTTTAGTCCTTGAAAAAATATTTTTAAAAGTCTACGTTTAGTCCTTAAAAAAATATTTTTAAAAATCCACGTTTAGTCCTTGAAAAAAATTATTTTAATAATCCACGTTTAGTCCTTGAAAAAATATTTTTAAAAATCCACGTTTAGTCCTTGAAAAAATATTTTTAAAAATCCACGTTTAGTCCTTGAAAAAATATTTTTAAAAATCCACGTTTAGTCCTTGAAAAAATATTTTTAAAAATCCACGTTTAGTCCTTGAAAAAATATTTTTTAAAATCCACGTTTAGTCCTTGAAATCCACGTTTGTTGATCCTTAAAAAAATACTTTTAAAAATCTACGTTTAGTCCTTGAAATCCACGTTTGTTGATCCTTGAAAAAATATTTATAAAAATCTACGTTTAGTCATTGAAATCCGCGTTTGTTGATCCTTAAAAAAATATTTTTGAAAATCCACGTTTAGTTCTTGAAAGTACACTTTTGTTGATCCTTGAAAAAATATTTTTGAAAATCCACGTTTAGTCCTTAAAATCTACTTTTGTTGATCCTTGAAAAAAATATTTTTAAAAATCCACGTTTAGTCCTTGAAAGTCCACGTTTGCTGATCCTTGAAAAAATATTTTTAAAAATCTACGTTTAGTCCTTGAAATCCACGTTTGTTGATCCTTGAAAAAATGTTTTTAAAAATCCACGTTTAGTCCTTGAAATCCACGTTTGTTGATCCTTAAAAAATATATTCAAAAAATCCACGTTTAGTCTTTGAAATCCACGTTTGTTGATCCTTGAAAAAAATATTTTTAAAAATCCACGTTTAGTCCTTGAAATCCACGTTTGTTGATCCTTGAAAAAACATTTTTAAAAACATTTTAAATTGGTCTTTTTCTTGAACTACAAATGCATAACCCAAAATACAACCCCTATTAAATCCTTTAAGGACACCCCTAATGTCACTATGGCAACATGAGCCTTGGATACATTCCTTATTGTAAATACCTACTGTCAACATTTCGCGACAAGAAAAAATTCTGAAAAAAGTGTTTCAAAAATGGTTTCACCGGGAAATTGGCTCCAGGTCATTGTGGATGGTGAGCAGCCCAAGCTGAATACCCTGCCCTCGTGTGTCACTGTCAGTGATGTCAAATCGGATAATTATGTGAGGCTCATAGCCACCGATATAGCCATCGATGATGAGCCACCAAGGGCCACATTGAAGGTGTTTCGGGGCATTGATTTGGAATCGGAACACGAGCTAAAGGGCATACCCTCGGCCATTGCCAGTTTGTATATTGATGAATCGGAGCCAAAGACACCAAGTAAGTGGGGGAGGTTTGGAAAAGGATTTCAGATAAAGGATATGGTGTTTTTGTTTGCTTTTAGTTGTTGCTGTGGCCATTGCCGAGTCGGTGCTATTCTATCGCCACATGAAACCCTATTTCAAGTACACCCTACCCGAACTGGATGTCCTGGATGAGGAAAGGGAAATCTGGCGCAAACTCAATCTAGTGGGTGTGGAGGAACAGGAGGCCCTGATTGAGGGCCTTAAGGCCCTGGAACGACCCAAGCTGACAAGGAAGTCACAGCATTTGTTGAACCTGCTGCCACCAGAGAGGAATGTGAGTAGGAAATCCTTGACCAACAAAAGATAACTTTTTCCCCTCTCCCCCCTTCCAGGACTTTATACGCCAACAAGCCGAAGGCTCTCTCATACGTTACTCCAATGTGGTGGCCCTCAAATGCTTGGCACGAGTTTCCAGCGGCGATTCCCAGCCACCCTCTCATTTGGTCATTGCCACCGACAATGGGGAAATTATCATTGTAGAACCCCAAAGTTTTGGAGTGCTCTATCGGGTCATGGCCTGCCCCGACATCACACCCAGTATGTTGGCCGTTAATGGATTTTTTGAGACAGATTTCTGCATTGCCATTGCCACTCGTTATGGGTCGGTGTATTTGCTGCGCAAGGCAGCTGCTGAGGGCCAAGAAATATTCAAACTCTCTCATCCCCTAACGGGACTGGTACTCCTACCAATTGATCAGACCATTGTGGTATCCTCAATGGACAAGAAATTGGTATGCTATTCCAAGAAGGGCAAACAGTTATATATGGTCCCCCTGCCGGAACAACCCATATGCATGACCATGATCAATTTGAGCCATTTGGGTCTATCACTCATCTGTGTGGCCCTGGAAGGGGGTCTGGTACAATTTTATATGCAAAAATATCTGGTGGATGAATTTCAAATTGAGGGCACTGTGAGTTCCATGGTTTTTGGCTATCTGGGGCTGGAAGAACATGTCTTGTGTTTGACCACCCTGGAGGGGGATTTGGTAATCAAAATTTTGAAAAGGACAGCCACATTTGAACCAAATCAGAACTTGGCTGGTCGTGGTTTTCTGGGTAGCAGTGATATGGTGCATGCCTCAGTCCTCGAGAAGCCGAAAAAGAGTTCGATTTTTGTGGAACAGGTGGCCAGAGAGAAACAAAATGCCAAGGGTAAGCATTTCCGAAGGGGAGGGAAATTTAAGTTTCTGAAATTTTTTAAATTTTAGCTACCTATGGCAGTTTCCAAGTTGAGCTATGGCGGCTGAGACACACCGCCGCCCGGGCCACAGTGGATGCTTTGAACTCATCGGAACGTACCATATCTGGTGATATAACCCATGCCCCGGTCAAATTGTCGGCTGAGGTTTGCGGTGTGGGTCCTGTCTTTCGTTTGTATCTGACCATTCAAAATCTGAGCACCTATAAAATGGCCTCTAATCTAATGGTTCTGCTGCATGCCGATCGGAGGCATTATACCATACAGAAATCGGTGGCAAAGGTAATTAAGAATGGGATTTTTAGGATGTTTTTTCAAGGAAAAAATACGGATTTAAAAAATAATTTTCAAGGGCTAAACATGGATTGTTAAAAATATTTTTCAAAGACTAAACGTGGATTGTTAAAAATATTTTTTTCAAGGACCAACAACGTGGATTTTCAAGGACTAAATGTGGATTTTTAAAAATATTTTTCCAAGGACCAACAACGTGGATTTTCAAGGACTAAACGTGGATTTTTAAAAATATTTTTCCAAGGACCAACAACGTGGATTTTCAAGGACTAAACGTGGATTTTTAAAAATATTTTTCCAAGGACCAACAACGTGGATTTTCAAGGACTAAACGTGGATTTTTAAAAATATTTTTCCAAGGACCAACAACGTGGATTTTCAAGGACTAAACGTGGATTTTTAAAAATATTTTTCCAAGGACCAACAACGTGGATTTTCAAGGACTAAACGTGGATTTTTAAAAATATTTTTCCAAGGACCAACAACGTGGATTTTCAAGGACTAAACGTGGATTTTTAAAAATATTTTTCCAAGGACCAACAACGTGGATTTTCAAGGACTAAACGTGGATTTTTAAAAATATTTTTCCAAGGACCAACAACGTGGATTTTCAAGGACTAAACGTGGATTTTTAAAAATATTTTTCCAAGGACCAACAACGTGGATTTTCAAGGACTAAACGTGGATTTTTAAAAATATTTTTCCAAGGACCAACAACGTGGATTTTCAAGGACTAAACGTGGATTTTTAAAAATATTTTTCCAAGGACCAACAACGTGGATTTTCAAGGACTAAACGTGGATTTTTAAAAATATTTTTCCAAGGACCAACAACGTGGATTTTCAAGGACTAAACGTGGATTTTTAAAAATATTTTTCCAAGGACCAACAACGTGGATTTTCAAGGACTAAACGTGGATTTTTAAAAATATTTTTCCAAGGACCAACAACGTGGATTTTCAAGGACTAAACGTGGATTTTTAAAAATATTTTTCCAAGGACCAACAACGTGGATTTTCAAGGACTAAACGTGGATTTTTAAAAATAATTTTCCAAGGACCAACAACGTGGATTTTCAAGGACTAAACGTGGATTTTTAAAAATATTTTTCCAAGGACCAACAACGTGGATTTTCAAGGACTAAACGTGGATTTTTAAAAATATTTTTCCAAGGACCAACAACGTGGATTTTCAAGGACTAAACGTGGATTTTTAAAAATATTTTTCCAAGGACCAACAACGTGGATTTTCAAGGACTAAACGTGGATTTTTAAAAATATTTTTCCAAGGACCAATAACGTGGATTTTTAAAAATATTTTTCCAAGGACCAACAACGTGGATTTTCAAGGACTAAACGTGGATTTTTAAAAATATTTTTCCAAGGACCAACAACGTGGATTTTCAAGGACTAAACGTGGATTTTTAAAAATATTTTTCCAAGGACCAACAACGTGGATTTTCAAGGACTAAACGTGGATTTTTAAAAATATTTTTCCAAGGACCAACAACGTGGATTTTCAAGGACTAAACGTGGATTTTTAAAAATATTTTTCCAAGGACCAACAACGTGGATTTTCAAGGACTAAACGTGGATTTTTAAAAATATTTTTCCAAGGACCAACAACGTGGATTTTCAAGGACTAAACGTGGATTTTTAAAAATATTTTTCCAAGGACCAACAACGTGGATTTTCAAGGACTAAACGTGGATTTTTAAAAATATTTTTCCAAGGACCAACAACGTGGATTTTCAAGGACTAAACGTGGATTTTTAAAAATATTTTTCCAAGGACCAACAACGTGGATTTTCAAGGACTAAACGTGGATTTTTAAAAATATTTTTCCAAGGACCAACAACGTGGATTTTCAAGGACTAAACGTGGATTTTTAAAAATATTTTTCCAAGGACCAACAACGTGGATTTTCAAGGACTAAACGTGGATTTTTAAAAATATTTTTCCAAGGACCAACAACGTGGATTTTCAAGGACTAAACGTGGATTTTTAAAAATATTTTTCCAAGGACCAACAACGTGGATTTTCAAGGACTAAACGTGGATTTTTAAAAATATTTTTCCAAGGACCAACAACGTGGATTTTCAAGGACTAAACGTGGATTTTTAAAAATATTTTCCAAGGACCAACAACGTGGATTTTCAAGGACTAAACGTGGATTTTTAAAAATATTTTTCCAAGGACCAACAACGTGGATTTTCAAGGACTAAACGTGGATTTTTAAAAATATTTTTCCAAGGACCAACAACGTGGATTTTCAAGGACTAAACGTGGATTTTTAAAAATATTTTTCCAAGGACCAACAACGTGGATTTTCAAGGACTAAACGTGGATTTTTAAAAATATTTTTCCAAGGACCAACAACCTGGATTTTTAAAAATATTTTTCCAAGGACCAATAACGTGGATTTTTAAAAATATTTTTCCAAGGACCAACAACGTGGATTTTCAAGGACTAAACGTGGATTTTTAAAAATATTTTTCCAAGGACCAATAACGTGGATTTTTAAAAATATTTTTCCAAGGACCAACAACGTGGATTTTCAAGGACTAAACGTGGATTTTTAAAAATATTTTTCCAAGGACCAACAACGTGGATTTTCAAGGACTAAACGTGGATTTTTAAAAATATTTTTCAAAGGACCAACAACGTGGATTTTCAAGGACTAAACGTGGATTTTTAAAAATATTATTCCAAGGACCAACAACGTGGATTTTCAAGGACTAAACGTGGATTTTTAAAAATATTTTTCAAAGGACCAACAACGTGGATTTTCAAGGACTAAACGTGGATTTTTAAAAATATTATTCCAAGGACCAACAACGTGGATTTTCAAGGACTAAACGTGGATTTTTAAAAATATTTTTCCAAGGACCAACAACGTGGATTTTCAAGGACTAAACGTGGATTTTTAAAAATATTTTTCCAAGGACCAACAACGTGGATTTTCAAGGACTAAACGTGGATTTTTAAAAATATTTTTCCAAGGACCAACAACGTGGATTTTCAAGGACTAAACGTGGATTTTTAAAAATATTTTTCCAAGGACCAACAACGTGGATTTTCAAGGACTAAACGTGGATTTTTAAAAATATTTTTCCAAGGACCAACAACGTGGATTTTCAAGGACTAAACGTGGATTTTTAAAAATATTTTTCCAAGGACCAACAACGTGGATTTTCAAGGACTAAACGTGGATTTTTAAAAATATTTTTCCAAGGACCAACAACGTGGATTTTCAAGGACTAAACGTGGATTTTTAAAAATATTTTTCCAAGGACCAACAACGTGGATTTTCAAGGACTAAACGTGGATTTTTAAAAATATTTTTCCAAGGACCAATAACGTGGATTTTTAAAAATATTTTTCCAAGGACCAATAACGTGGATTTTTAAAAATATTTTTCCAAGGACCAACAACGTGGATTTTCAAGGACTAAACGTGGATTTTTAAAAATATTTTTCCAAGGACCAATAACGTGGATTTTTAAAAATATTTTTCCAAGGACCAATAACGTGGATTTTTAAAAATATTTTTCCCAGGACCAACAACGTGGATTTTCAAGGACTAAACGTGGATTTTTAAAAATATTTTTCCAAGGACCAACAACGTGGATTTTCAAGGACTAAACGTGGATTTTTAAAAATATTTTTCCAAGAACCAACAACGTGGATTTTCAAGGACTAAACGTGGATTTTTAAAAATATTTTTCCAAGGACCAACAACGTGGATTTTCAAGGACTAAACGTGGATTTTTAAAAATATTTTTCCAAGGACCAACAACGTGGATTTTCAAGGACTAAACGTGGATTTTTAAAAATATTTTTCCAAGGACCAACAACGTGGATTTTCAAGGACTAAACGTGGATTTTTAAAAATATTTTTCCAAGGACCAACAACGTGGATTTTCAAGGACTAAACGTGGATTTTTAAAAATATTTTTCCAAGGACCAACAACGTGGATTTTTAAATATATTTTTCCAAGGACTTAAAGTGGATTTTCAAAAATATTTTTCCAAGGACTAAATTTGGATTTTTAAAAATATTTTTGCAAGGATCAATAAGCGTGGATTTTCAAGGACTAAACGTGGATTTTTAAAATAATTTTTCCAAAGACCAACAACGTGGATTTTTAAATATATTTTTCCAAGGACTTAAAGTGGATTTTCAAAAATATTTTTCCAAGGACTAAATTTGGATTTTTAAAAATATTTTTTCAAGGATCAATAAACGTGGATTTTCAAGGACTAAACGTGGATTTTTAAAATAATTTTTCCAAAGACCAACAACGTGGATTTTTAAATATATTTTTCCAAGGACTTAAAGTGGATTTTCAAAAATATTTTTCCAAGGACTAAATTTGGATTTTTAAAAATATTTTTTCAAGGACTTAAAGTGGATTTTAAAAATATTTTTCCAAGGACTAAACGTGAATTTTTTAAAACATTTTCCAGGGACTAAACGTGGATTTTTTTAAATGTTTTTCCAAGGACTAAACGTGAATTTTTTAAAACATTTCCCAGGGACTAAACGTGGATTTTTTTTTAATGTTTTTCCAAGGACTAAACAAATAAAATAATGTTTAATTATTTTCTTGTATTTCCAGCTCCCAAGCATTCTGCCGGGTGTACCCCTGAAAATCGATTTCGAAATTGTTGCCGTATTGGATCCCAATGACAAATTACCACCACACACTTTGACCCCCGAGAACTCACACATACGAGTGATGATAACGAAAACTCAACAGACCAAACCTTTGATTGCGGCCGTCATAGATATGCCACAGTCGGAGGCGAATTTTTAAAGCATATGTTAAGGCGCCATTAAATATTCACAAAAATAACTGTTTGTTAATAAATATAATTTTGTTTATTCTATTTCTTTGGTCATCCGCTTAAATTTGTTTAATTCCTTAACCATGATTCTTATGCAACTGCTGTGATCTCTGTTAACTGCTTAGGCATATTTGGGGGCATACTTTTCGTAGACCTTGACATAGGCCTCCTTGGCAGCCTCTTGGGACAAACCCTTGTGCGAGTTCCAGGCTTCCCACATGGCCTTCTTTTTCAAATCCAAGGCACCGGGCTTCTCGATGTTGACATCACCAACGGTGGCCTGTTTGAAGAGACCGTAGAATTCCAAGAATTCAGAGTCGCTGGGCTTCTTGGAGAAGTTCTTGGCCAATTCACAGGCTTCTTCGAAACTAACCATGTTGATTGAGTGGGAGTATTGGGGATCTAAAGAACAGATTTTAAATTAAATTAATTTTAAGAATTTAAGTCTTTTCCCATTTCCTTACCTTGCTCTGCTGAAAGGATATAAGCGAAATGATAACTTTTTCAAGTGGCCCTTAACTATTTATAGTAAATTGACTCTCTGTGACCACTTGATATCTTGAGAAAAATTGGATTTAGATTTAATTAAATATTGATAAGGAATAGCGTCATTGGAAGGCAGTTCAATGGAGTTGGAGGTAAGATATGGATTATGGCAGCCACCAACTCACGTGCCTTTTGGTGATAAAAAGAAATAGTTGGAAATTCTGATAAGAGTTATTAAAATTTTTTGGGGGTCGAGATAAGTCGTAAATTAATTTTGAATATTAATTCTTGAGGTATTCAAGTCAATTTTTTTTTCTAGAAGAACTTTAGCGAAGAAATTATTATGGGAGTAGCATTTTTCTAAGGACTAAGGAAGATGATAAGTCTGTGAAAATCAAATCAAACGAGAAACTGGTTGTTTGGTTGGAGTCCATAACCGGTTAAGAGCCTTCGACAATATGTACGCCCCATCTTGAGAAAAATATAGTTAAGGAAATATTTTGGCATCGAAAACTATTGATTATTTTATTATTATTTAACAAACGCAATAGAAAATTGTAGACCACTTAGACGATAAAAATGTGTCCAGGGTCTGTTTAATTTTCAAAGAACAAGAATCCAGATACCGTACTTTAAAAATATCAATAATTGGGGATTGTTGTTACATGACGGCTATCCCAAAACCTGGACCAACATTCAACATTATCAGACCGACTTCGCTTAAAACAATCTAAAAAGAATCAGTTGGTTTTGCCGACAGATGTATACTCCCTGCCAATGTTCGATTATTTGAATATATATTGACTTCTATTGTGATTATTCAAATTGTTGACCCTCTATGGAGTAGGTTCCGAAGGAATGGGCCAATATTGCCCGCTTCGTATCGGACCTAAATAAATATGATATAAATATTGCGACGTGCCAGGTTTGGACTATTATAATAATCTTTGAATTTTTTTTTTCAAAATCTTGAACCCGTATGTTGAGGAGGTACCAGAAGAAATAGTCCGATTTCAGCCACATTTATAACAGATCTTGTGCTGATAGAAATATTTAGAATTTTTGGCGCTTTGAGGGTGATGCATCAGAAGGAGTAGACCGATATATTCCATCTTGTCACCAGAACTTGGGTTAAGAAAAATATTTTATTTCGAATTACATGATAGTTTTGGTTATTCAAAACTTTGTGCGGGAGGTACCAAAATGAATTGTCCGATCTCTACCATTTTTATAAGAAATCTTGTGTTGACGGAAATATTGAGATCTACCAAGTGTTAATGAGATGGGATGTTTATTTCGCGTTTTATGAGCTTCATGGTTATTCAAAATGTTGATCCTGTGTAGGGGAGGTACCAGAAGGAGTGGACCGATATATTCCATCTTCAAATAAGATTTTGTAGTAGTAAATATGGTGGGATGAAGAGAACCGGACGCTTATTACGGATTTATTAATCGTTTTGATTATTCAAAACTTTGACCTTTTGTGGTGGAGGTATCACAATAAATGATTCAACCTCTACCAGTTGTATACCCTCCACCATACATTGTATGAAGTGTTCGTCATTACGTTTGCAACTCAACGTAATAATAATTATAACAAAGTATATATATTCTTGAGCAGCGTAAAATTCTGAGACGATTTAGCCCTGTCCGTTCGTCTGTTGTAATCACGCTACAGTCAAAACGAATAAATATAGGAAGCTCAAATTTTGCACAGATCAGTCTTTTGTCTGCAGGCAGGCCAAGTGCGAAGATGGGTTATATAGGTACACGATATAGTATATCCCCCATATAACGGTACCACCCGATATTCGGTATTTTTATGCATTTATCCACAGATTTCAATGGTACTCTTTGAAATTCTACACAAGGCGTTCTTTCCAAGTACTTTATCACCTGAAAGAAAATTGTGTATAGGTCCACGATATAGTATATCCCCCATATAACGGTACCCCACGATATTCGGTATTTTGATGATTTTAGCCACATTTATCTAAGAAATTGTCTGAAAATCCACACAAGGAGTTCTTTCTGAGTACTCTAGCTCCTGAAGATTATTTTCCATATACGTGTACGATATCGTATATCCCCCACATAACGGTACCTCCCGATATTCGGTATTTTGATGATTTTAGCGACTTTATTCGCAGGGGTTGATTCAAATTCCGTATTTAAAGTTTGTAATGGGAACTGCAGTCTATGACTAAAAATTGTCTATGCAGGTCCAGGTCTTCGTATAGGTCCCACATATCAGTACCTCCCTATATTCGGTATTTTGATGATTTTAGCTAAATTATTCACAAAATTTTTTATGACAAAAATTGCCTATTCAGTTCCACTTCTACGTATAGACCACAGTATAACGGCTATGTTCGGTATTTTTAAGATTTTAACAGAATTTTTAGCGGATCTTATCTGTTTGAAAATTTCTAAATTCGCACCAAATGGTGGAGGGTATTCAAAGTTCGGCTCGGCCTAACTTACAGCTCTTTTACTTATTATAACAGATCTTGTGCTCATAGAAATATTCAGATATGCCAAGTTTGAATGGAATTGTATGTTAATTTCGTTTTTTATGAGCTTCATGGATATTGAAAATGTTGACGCTTTGTGGAGGAGGTACCAGAAGGAGTGGTTCGATATACTCCATCTTCACACTAGTTGTTACTAAAAATATAGTAATGTGTGCAATTTGAAAACAATCGGACTCTTACAGCACATTTAATAAGAGTTATAGTTATTCAAAAATTTTGACCCGTTGTGGGGGAGGTACTTGATGGAATGGACCGATGCAGTTCATTTTCTCACCTGACCTAGCACTGATGCAAATATTAGGATTTACAAAGTTGGAGCAAAATCGTATTAACCTTTCTCTTTCTGTGCAGTAAAACATTTTTCTTGAAAATTTAGACCTTTTGTGGGGGAGGCACCAGAAGATGTGGACCGATATTGCCCATCTCTGAACTCGATCTAAGTTTTACAAAAATATTACGATGTACCATGTTTGGACCAAGTCGCATACTCCCTTCGAGAGTTATCGTACGTTATCAATAGACAGACAGTCGATCGCTAGATCGACTCTAAGTGTCCTGAAACGGATTTGGTCCAAAGAGATTTATGGTCTAAAACTGTTATTTCGATTATGCACGTCTTGGCCGTATCAAATGTTATATACCGTCCCTAGTCATTTGGCTGGGGGTATAAAAAATGTAAAAAAAATCGGCTACGCTGACAGATGTATAACCACAACCTATTTCCGTATATTTGTATGTATTCAGACTTGCTTTCTTATTATTCAAAATGGCTGACCCTTTTAGGGTTAAGGTCCGAGGTCGATATATTCAACGTTATCTTTTAACCCAATCTGATATAAATATTAGTCTGATACATATATATTAGGTTTGGACTATATCGGTTACTCGATTCCTTTAATATGTGATATATTCCGGCTTAACTCTAGATTAGCAAAATCTCTCGATTTTTTTGCAACTTTTTACAAAGGATCGTATTTGTGCCCTGATTCCGGGGAAGTATTTTTTTTTTTTTTTTGTGAGAGTGGTTTTAATGATTGACTTAAAATTCCGGATTCAAATCTTAGGAAGGGGTCGTATGATGAGGTTATTTAAAACAATTCGGCAATTAAATCGAAATTTTAGTGATTTTGGTCTTTTTTTTTTTTTTTGTAAATTAGGGTACAAAAACCTAAATCTAAAAATGCATTCAAAAAATCCGAGAGTGGTAAAAATCCGACATATCGTTGGTAGAAATTTGAGATATACGAAGTTTGAAGAAATCACTGATTTTTTCGAATGTTATGAGAGAAATAATTATGACAAATTTAGACCCTTGTACATGCAAATACCAAAAGATGGGAACCGATTTCCTTGGTTTTCTTAGCTGACCTATCTATCTAATCAAGACCTCTTAGTGTCATATATTTTTATAGAGAATATATCTTCTGCGTACTAGTAAAGAGGACCCTCCAGATTTGGACACTGCATGGAAATTTTTCTTGGCATTTTACATAGAAACCCATCTTGAGGTTTTCTCTTACTGAAGCTCATATTTTCCTAGAACAGGTCTTTTTAAGAACCCCATGAGTAATACAAACATTTTACTTCGGACTTTGGACCCTAGTTTTGATTGAGCGGCCCTCATTTAATAATTAACTTTTAATTTCAACCACAAATTTTAACAGATTGGCTATTCAAAAATTCCCCTAAGACCCAGATTGTCAAAAAAATACGTCAACTTGGATATCAGTAAAAAAAATAGACACGTAATCGTTGCAGGTGGGTGAACAGATGAGGGAGTGGCGGGGGGCAGGTTGAGTTTGCAAAATTAATCAGTGACACTGTTGACACTGCCTAACATTATCAGAACATACTTTCAATATATAACACAATACGTATACAATATATAATAATCGCCAAAATGTGTTGTTCTTGTTGTTAGTCAGCTAATCAAAACAAGCTACCAACAACGCCAACTTATATATTTGATGACCCATAGGGAATGACAGGGATGGGTTTTCCAAATTTTATAATAAGGGCCTCAAATGTTGTGGATGGAAGAGGTTTACCTCGGTATAAGAAAAATGTAAATTTATGTTAATGATTCGTATGACACCCTAAGTAATAATGTTTGTGGACGTAGGGTGTCACATAAAAAATCTGAGAATAAAATATCAGGGTCCCAACAGCTAGTTTATTTCCAACAATTTCTGTACTGTTGTTCGACTAAGACAAGGACTCAGAAATGCTTTCGTTTTGCCATAATTTCTCAATTTTTATCCTCCCAGCCACATGGCTACTAAGGGTATATCTCTTGAGATATGGCCAAATGTGGATCATTGAAATAAAACAACGATATGACAAGCACGAAAAGAGTACTCGGCAACAGTGGGATCAACTAGATTTCGGGAGAATTTTACTCCCCCATTCACAAAATGAGCAAAAACTACTCGCACTTACTCGAGTGCCATATAATATTAGAGTATACACGATTATTTTTTTCGACTCGCAGGAGTAGTACCCTTCGAATTCGAGTAAAGAGTGAAATTCAATGTTGGTTCTCATTTAAATAAACGAAAATATGCTCAAGCTCATTTAAATAAACGAATATATGGTGAAGGTTTACATCTACCATTTCGATTGATAAGCTCCAAGTTGTTGTGCAGAAATTTAATAATTTCAATTTGTTGCTGGGTCCTCCATTTTTATTTTTATTTGTCAAATGTCAAAATACTTGGTAATCCTAAATAAAACCTTTTGTTGGAATACCCTATAGCAATATCAATCCTGATTGAAATCAATAAAAATAAATATTGATGTATAATCGAGAATATTAAGGCATTTCGAATCTTACGTATACGTGCTATCATAACGTATACGTAACGGACAACTAACTGACTGACTGCAAATCAAGGCCCAGACAAAACGGCAGAAGCTAGAAACTTAAAATTCTTCCAGGAGGAACAGTCTTGTTGCGCAAAAGTGTGATTAGGCTGAATTTTTGGAAATTCGTACTAAAGGGGTACGAAAAGTGTTAAAATGTACTAAAATTTAAATAATTTGTATTGGACAAACGGAATTAGCTTGAATTCTGAAATTCGAAATAAGAGTCACCGATGGAGTGCAGGTAAAGGGATTTTGGAAAATCGAACTTTAAGGTTACGAAAAGTTCTAAAATAGTACCACTCTTCTAAAATGAGAATTAGAGTCAGTGATGGAATGCAGGATAGATATAATAAAGGGGTTTGGGAAAATTAAATTTTAAGGTTACCGAAAGTTCTAAAATAATACCACTTTTATAGAATGATACCATTTCGTATCGTTCACATTATAGCTAATGGTACCATTTTGGGAAGTTTAGTACCACTTATGAACTTGAGCTAAAATTGAAATTTGGTATGAGAATCAAGGTTGGAAAATAGGTTCGATATATGAAGGTGGTTTTGAAAATTTGTACAAATGTGTGTTTGCGAGCTGTACTAAATGGTACTAAATTTGAAGCAATTTGTCTTAGGGTGAACGTATGAAGTAGGAATTTTGAAATTTTGTAATGGGCACCCATTTGTGGTATGTTTGTGATAATAAAGGGTAATTTTGGAAATGTGTACTATAATGGTACGAAATGTATTAAATGGTACTATATTTGGTACAATTTTGTATTGGGTGAAGAGATAGTGCTTAAAATCTGAAATTTGGTATTAGGGTCGTTGTTCATGTGTAGCCTGGACATTTGGAGATTATTACGGAAATGTGTACTAAAAATGTACAAAAAGTACTAAATGGTACTATAGTTGGCATAGGGTGAAAGAAAAGAGATAAAATTCTGAAATTTGATATTGAGGTTTCTGTTGGTATCTGGAATAGGGTTATGAAGGCGGTTTTGGAAATGTGTACTATAAATGTACGAAAAGTACAACTACTAAATTGGGCATTGAGTGAAGGAATAAAAATAAAATTCTGAAATTTGATGTTAAGATGAGTAATGGTATTTGTGTTTGAGATTTGGAGGTGGGTTTGGAAATGTGCTCTGCATTTGTACAAAAAGTACTAAATGGTACTAAATGTAATATTGGGTGAAGTGATGGGGCAGAAATCCTTAAATTTTATCTTAATGTATCGGTTGATATCTGGAATAGGGTTATGGAAATGGTTTCGGAAATGTGTACTATAATTGTACGAAAAGTACTGAATGGTACTAAATTTGGTATTGGCTTAAGGGATAGAGATAAAATTCTGAAATTTGATATTTAGATTACTGATGGTATTTGTGTTTGAGATTTCGAGGTGGGTTTCGAAATGCGTCATATATTTGTACAAAAAGTACTAAATGGTACTAAATTTGGTATTGGATGAAGTGATAGAGCTGAAATCCTGAATTTTGATATTGAAGTCTCCGTCGGTATCTGGAATTGAGTTATGGAGGCGATTTTGGAAATGCGAACTATATCAGTACGAAAAGTACTAAATGGTACTATATTTGGTATTGAGTGAAGGGATAGAGATACAATTCCAAAATTTGATATTCAGATTACTAATAATATCTGTGTTTGAGATTTTATGGTGGTTTGGAAGTGTGTCCCGTAGTTGTACAAAAAGTACTAAATGGTACTAGAGTTGGTATTGGGTGAGGTGATAGAGCTAGAATTCTTAAATTTGTTATTGAAGTCTCTATCGGTATTTGGAATTGAGTTATGGAGGTGGTTTAGAAAATGTGTACTATAACTGTACGAAAGATACTAAATGGTACTAATTTTTCTTTATTAGGTGAAGAGATAGAGATAAATTTCTAAACATTTGATATTTAGATTACTGATGGTATCTGTGTTAGAGATTTGGCGATGGTTTGGAAATGCCTCCTACATTTGTATGAAAAATACTAAATGGCACTAGAGTTGGTATTAGGTGAAGTGATAGAGCTAGAATCCTTCAATTTGTTATTGAAGTCTCTATCGGTATTTGGAATTGAGTCATGGAGGTGGTTTAGAAAATGTGTACTATAATTGTATAAAAAATACTAAATGGTACCAAATTTGGTATTGGGTGAAGTCACAGGCTGGAATCCTCAAATTTGATACTAAGGTCTCTGTTGGTAACAGGAATTGAAATATGGAGGGAGTTTGGCAAATGCGTCCTATAATTGTACGAAAAGTACAAAATAGTAGTAATTTGTGATTACTGTCCGTCTCTAGGATAGATAATTGTTTTGGATATACGTACTAAATGTAACTGAATTTGGTATGGGGTGAAGGGATAGAATTGAAATTCTGAAATTTGATATTGAGATCTCTGTTGGTTCCTGAGGTTTACATATGGAGACCTTGAAATATTTTTCTACAGAAAAATTGGATATGGGTACATTGTGCAATGTACTTACTAATATTCTCCTCAGTAGACTTCAAAATGAAAGTTTTTTAAGAATTTTGGGTGTAAAAGTTAAACATTTTACTATTTTTTTTCCGAAAAAAGGTAAAACTTGAATTCTGAAGATTCCTTACGATGTATAAAGTTTTGATTAAAATATATTGTTTGAACTGAACAAATTGCACATTTCGTGCACTAAAAAGGCCTAAAACGAACTTTTGGAACGAGGTGGAGTTTTGGAAGTACCGGGCAAATTGCTTTTGTTGCAATACCCTTGGAAAATGCCAGTACAGATCTAAAGCCCAGGCTACACATCAAAAAATATTAATAATAATAATAATAATAATGGGTATATTTCTGCATTTATTATTAACCTGGTTATTCGGGATCACGAATCTCCACTCAGGTGCTGCGTATAATTGCTGTCATTACGTATACGCATAGGACTCCGAAAATTTAGTCTAATTTAATGCTTCTCAGGATTTTTTTGTTGAAAAAATTGTTTGACTCTAAAGAAAAAAATTCTGAGAAGCATTAAATTAGACTAAATTTTCGGAGTAATGACAACACTTATACGTAATGACAACACTTATACGCAGCACCTGAGTGGAGATTCGTGATCCCGAATAACCAGGTAAGCCCCTTTTAAATAATGGGCCACAATTTGTCAACCTCTATTGCATTTCTCCCTAAATATTCAATTCAAGGGAATTCACTTGCCAAAAAATTATATTGAATTTTCTAACATATTTTTTTTTTTTTTGGAAATATTGAGTAATTCTGAAGTTTCAAAACAACTGCCACCGAATAGATAACATGATGTATTACTAATATTATGTGTTTTTTGGAAATTATGCCCTTATCTCCCCCACTTAACAGCCCCCCTACTAAAACTTGGCCAACTATCTGGGTGCAGTGGGCAGATAAGATTTGCGTTAAATGATAATAAAAAAAAAACGCTGTGCATTTGCAAAAATATTAAATACTCTCCAATCAAATCACATTCTATATAAATCGCTGATTTGGCTGTAGACCATATTATTTGTTTTCCAAGCAGTAAACAGTAAACACACCAAAAAACCCTCAAACATGTTGACCGTAAGTTGAAGGAGAAAAAATTGCCAAAAAATTGGCAAAAAATAATTTTCTTTTTCAATTTTTTTGCAGTTCGAAGAAATTGTTGAAAAAGCCAAGAACTTCACCAAGAAGCCAACCCAAGAGGATTTCCTGGAATTCTACGGCTACTACAAACAGGCCACCGTTGGTGACTGCAACACCGACGAACCCGAGGATGTTGTCCGCAAGGCCATGTGGAACTCGTGGAAGGAAAAGGCTGGCATGAGCGCCGAAGATGCCAAGGCTAAATACATTGAAGTCTATCACAAATATGCCCCCAAATACGAATAAATCTTTCGTAGGCAGGGCGTATACCGTGTAAATAACGCTTAGATAGGATTATCATCTTAAGGTTGTTTTTTTCTCGTTTCTCTTGCCATTCCGGCCATGAGGAAAGTGAAAAGTTGTTTATTTAAAAAAAAATGTTTGATGTTTTTTTATATATATTTCTGGGTTCAACAATAAAACCATAGAAAAATAAATAATTTTTATTTTATAAAAAATACTAAAATATTTAAGGTTGGAAATTGGTGGGTAAAAAAACCCTGGAGAAAAAAGAAAATCGTGTGCTGTTCTCCCAGTAGAAATGTTCGATGGGAATTTCTCAAGCAACAAGACTATTTTTAGTTTCTTCCCTAGAGTTGAGTTCTGATTTCGAAAAATCATAAATTTTATAGAAATTAATGATATTTCTCGATTCATTTCTAAATGCCGTAAATTTTAAAATTTTGCCTAACTAAACAGCAGTTCAAACCCGTTGGGACGAATCAGTCGTTTCTTTCTACAGCTGTATGACCATATTCAAAATACAGTTTTGAATAATGTGAGACCATTCTCAAAATGATATTTTCATATCTTCCTCTTCGTCTTTTGTGGAGAATAATCCATATTCGAAATTTACCTAAGTTTATACTAAAATGAAGAAAACTCCGATCCAATTTCATAAAGGTCCAAGAAGAAGTGTAGCATTTTTTTCGAAAATTGTTATTCTAGACAGGGCGATGTGTTCTAATTCTTCTCCGATGTGGACACTCCCTTTGGTCGTACCATCAAGAATTGTATGTGTAAATTGTGCATAAGACTTACTAATATCCAGCTGCGTATAAGTGTTGTCATAACGTATACGCACAGGTCTCCAAACATTCAGCAGAATTGTATGCCTCTTTTGAGTCGAGAAAAATCTTCAACAAAAAAATCCTAAGACCCTTAATAATTCAGTAGATTTCTTGTTGAAGAAGTTTCTCGGCACAAAAGAGGCATACAATTATGCTGAATGTTTGGAGACCTGTGCGTATACGTTATGACAACACTTATACGCAGCAGGATATTAGTAAGTCTTTTGCACAATGTCACCGAAATTGTCATATATCTGAGGCTATTGATATTGAAATTGATACCAGATGAAGAGTACTAGCAAAAGAACCTATGAATAGGTAAAATAAAATCGCACGATGGTCTTGAAAAATATTCTTTAAAAAATCCACGATTTATGGTCTGGTGGCCCTTTGAAAAAATATTCTTTAAAAAATCCACGATTTATCGTCTGGTGACCCTTTGAAAAAATATTCTTTAAAAAATCCGCAATTTATTGTCTGGTGGCCCTTTGAAAAAAATATTCTTTAAAAAATCCACGATCTATCATCTGGTGGCCCTTTGAAAAAATATTCTTTAAAAAATCCATGATTTATGGTCTGGTGGCCCTTTGAAAAAAATATTCTTTAAAAAATCCACGATTTATGGTCTGGTGGCCCTTTGAAAAAAATATTCTTTAAAAAATCCACGATTTATGGTCTGGTGGCCCTTTGAAAAAATATTCTTTACAAAATCCACGATTTATGGTCAGGTGGCCCCTCGAAAAAATATTCTTTAAAACATCCATGATTTATGGTCTGGTGGCCCTTTGAAAAAATATTCTTTAAAAAATCCACGATTTATGGTCTGGTGGCCCTTTGAAAAAAATATTCCTTAAAAAATCCACGATTTATGGTCGGTGGCCCTTTAAAAAAATGTTTCTTTAAAAAATACACGATTTATCGTCTGGTGCCCTTTAAAAAAATATTCTTAAAAAAAGCCACGATTTATGGTCTGGTGGCCCTTTGAAAAAATATTCTTTAAAAAATCCACGTTTCTTGGTCTGATGGCCCTTTGAAAAAATATTCTTTAAAAAATCCACGATTTATTGTCTAGTGGCCCTTTGAAAAAATATTCTTTAAAAGATCCACGTTTTATTGCTTCTTGTTCTGATGGCTCTTGAAAAAATATTCTTTAAAAATCCACCTTTCTTGGTCCAATATTGGTTTAAATATTCTTTAAAAATCCACCTTTCTTGGTCCAATATTGGTCCAAATATTCTTAAAAAAACACGTATCTTGAAAGGAATTTCTTTAAACAAGTAAAAAAGCAGTAAATTCGGCCGGGCCGAATTTTGAATACCCTCGACCTTTTGTGGATGAGGTACCAGAGGGAGTGGACCGATATTGCCCATCTCCGAACTCGATCTAAGTTTGACAAAAATATTACGATGTACCAAGTTTGGATCAAATCGGATACTCCCTTCAAAAGTTATCATGCACACCAGCCAGCCACATAGACGGACCGACGCACATCGCTAGGCCAACTCCAAATGTCCTGAAACGGATTTGGTCCAAAGAGGCCTAGGGTCTACAACCGTTATTTCGATGAGGCACGTTTTGGTCGTATCAAATGATATATACCCTGTCTAGCCGTATGGCTGAGGGTATAAAAATACACGTTTCTTGGTCCGATGGCAGTTGATTTTTTTTAAATCCGTTAAAAAGCAGTTACTTCGGCCAGGCCGAACTTTTAATATCCTCCACCAACGAATTTGGAAGTTTTCAAAAAAAATAAATAAAATCCGTTAAAAATTCTGTTAAAATTTTAAAAATACCGAATATAGCCGTATATTGGTGTCTATACGAAGACGTGGACCTGCATAGGCAACTTTCTCAAAAGCCAATATTCAATATTCAAATACGAAACTTGAAAAAAAAAATCGGGTGAATATTGTAGCTAAAACCATCAAAATGCCGAATATAGGGAGGTACCGTTATATCGTGGCTATACGAAGACAGGCTGTAGTACCTATTAGAGACTTCTAATACGAAATTTCAAACAATTTCGGTGAATATTATGCCTAAAATCGCCAAAATACCGAATATAGGGAGGCCTATGGGGTCTATACGAAGTCCTGGACCTGCATAGAATACCTTATGTCATTGGCTGTAGGTCCCATTACGAACTATAAATACGAAATTTGATACAACTCATCCCGAATAGTGGGAGGCTACACGATATCGTGGACCTATATGGGCATTTCTCTTCCAGGGGGTAAAGGGCTTAGAGAGAATTTCTAGTATGGATTTTTAGACAATTCCATTGAAAAATGTGGCTACAATCATCACGATATAGCCCATCTTCGAACTTTGACAAAAGATAGATCTGTGCAAAATTATAGCTTCCTATCTTTATTGATTTTGACTCTAGTGTGATTACAACAGACGGACGGACGGACAGGGCCAAATCGTCTTAGAATTTTACGCTGATCCAAAATATATATACTTTGTTAAGTCTAAAATTATTATTTCGATGAGTTACAAACGGAATGACAAACTTAATATACCCTCCATACATGTATGGCGGAGGGTATAACAAACCCACGTTTCTTGGCCCGATGACCCTTGAAAAAATATTCTTTAACGTTTGTAGCTCTGATGGTCTTAATAAAATTATTTTTAAGAAATTCACGTTTGTGGTTCTGATAGTCTCCGAAAAAAAATTAAATATATTCTTAAAAAGATGGTTCGGTGTTCGATGGAAAAATATCGATATCTGTGGCTCTACTGTCTTTAAACAATATTTTTTAAAAAAATAGAAGTTTCCAACTAATATTTGAAAAAAGGACTAAAAATGTCCTTTAGGATTTAAATTTTCAACCAAAATAATCTCCGTATTATAATTGTAATATTACCGAAGACACTATATACCTACACTTCAAAGATTCCAATGAATCCTAATCCCAACATTTTTAAAATTGTGGAAGAAGGGGGAACTTGCCCCCCTTTGTTTTGTGGTGTAAACTTTCAAGACGTAAATGTAAACCCGATTTGAAATATTTTTTTACGCTGAAGTCATATATTCAATTTAATTTCTATTATTCGCATTTAAAAAATAGACTCCGAAGGCCCAGAAAAATCTAGAGAATTTTCCAAATTTTATTTCCATTTCTACAAAATTTGATTTATGTTTGTATTGTGACTAATATAAATCATTTGCGTATGACTAAAATGTATAAATTATGCAATCGCAATGGAAATACTGCAGCCGAAATCAAATTTATGAATTAATCACCACCGTCAGAGCGACAATGGCAATAATCAAAAGGAAAAAAAATAATTTGATAAAATACAAACGATTGCGTTAAATATAGTTTTAATTAAAAAAAGAAAATAATAAAGAAATTGATAAAGAAATCTACTGCAGTTGTTAATGGTAATGCCTAAAAGTATGCTAAGGTTTATTGGCAAAACAACACTATAGCCACTGTTGATTAAAATAATAGAGATGTTCATTATTATGGGGTAAAGTTGCGCTGTTATTGGGGATTTCTTTATTAAATGCTGGGGATAGTTGTCAAGAAGTGGAGATAATATATGGGCTCCCGGCCATAAATAATTATCAATTAAGGATTAGAAGAAATAGAAGGATTATAAATAATTAGATACAACATATTGCAAATAATCGCTGACTTGTTTCGCAAATTGTGACTGGGAAAAGTATTGAAAATTGTGACCCTTTGTGGTGTGAGGTGAACCAGAAGGGGTTCGCAGATATATGCCATCTTCACAACAGATTTTGTGTTAGCAAAAATATTTGTATGTGTGAAATTTGATGATACTTGGATGCCTATTTCGCTATCTTTAAGCGTTTTGTTTTTCAAAATCCTGAACCCTTTGTGGGGCAGGTACCAGAAGAAATGGTTCGATCTATACCACCTTTATAACAGATCTTGTATTGATAGAAATATTGAAATATGCCAAGTCCAAATGGAATCGGATCTTAATTTGGTGTTTTATGATCTTCATGGTTAATCAAAATTTCGACACTTTGTGGGGGAGGTACCAGAAGGATTGGACCGATACATTCCATGTTAACACCAGATCTTGGTTTTATAAAAATATTAGAATGTGTGAAATTTGAAGACGTTCGGATCCTTACATCACATTTTATAAGAGTTATAATTATTCAAAAGGTTGACCCTTTGTGGGGGAGGTACTTGATGGAGTGGACCGGTACTGTCCATTTTCGCACCTGACCTAGCACTGACGCAAATATTAGGATTTGCAAAGTTTGAGCAAAATCGGATTATTGCTTCTCTTTATGTGCAGAAAATATATTTTTTTTTTGTTGAAAATTTCGACCTTTTGTGGTGGAGGTACCAAAAGGAGCGGACCGATGTGTTCCCTCTTATCACCAGACCTTGGGTTAATAAAAAAATTGGGATATGTGCAATTTGAAGGCAATCGGACTCCTACATCACATTTTATAAGAGTTGTGATTATTCAAAATTTTGATCCTTTGTGGGGGAGGTCCCTGATGGAGTGGACCGATATTGTCCATTTTCGCACCTGACCTAGCACTGGCGCAAATATTAGGATACGCAAAGTTCAAACAAAATCGGATAATCCTTTCTCTTTCTGTGCGGAAAATATATTTTTTGACAATTTCGATCTTTTGTGTGGGAGGTACCTGAAGGAGTGGACCAATATTGCCCATCTCCGAACTAGATTTAAGTTTGATAATAATATTACGATGTATCAAGTTTGGATCAAATCGGATACTCCCTTCGAGAGCGCACCAGCCAGCCAAATGGACAGACGGATATCGCTAGATCGACTCTAAATGTCCTGAAACAGATTTAGCCAAAAAAGGCCTGGGTCTAAAACCGTAACTTCTCTATCCATAGGGTTGAGGGTATAAAAATCGTTACTTGAAAAATAAGGTAAAAATCCATAATTTATGCTTCAAAAGTTTTTTAAAAATTGTTTTAAGAAATCCATGTTTGGAGTTACAAAAGGGTCTTTGAAAAAAAAATCCACGTTTGGAGTTAGGAAAAGGGTTTTGGAAAAAATATTTGAAAAAAAAATCCACGTTTGGAGTTAGGAAAAGGGTTTTGGAAAAATATTTTTTAAAAATCCACGTTTGGAGTTACGAAAAGGTCTCCGATCAAAATATTTGAAAAAATCGACGTTTGGAGTTACAAAAAGTTCTTGGAAAAACTATTTTTAAAACATCCAAATTTGAAGGTCCAGAATGTCCTTGGAAAATGACATTATCTCCTAGGTTGATGCTTCAGAATATTCCTGAAAAATATTTTAAAAAAATACACGTTTGGAGTTACAAAAGGGTCTTCGAAAAAATATTTTTTAAAAATCCACATTTGGAGTTAGGGTTTTGGAAAAATATATTTAAAAAATCCACGTTCAGAGTTACGAAAGGGTCTCCGAAAAAAAATATTTGAAAAAATCCACATTTGGAGTTACTGAAAGGTCTTGAAAAAAATATTTTTAAAACATCTACGTTTGAACGGCTAAAGATCCTTGGAAAATGACCTTAACTCCTAGGTTGATGCTTCAGAATATTCCTGAAAATTATTTAAAAAAAAATCACGTTTGAGGGTTTAAAAGGTCCTTGCAAAACGAATTTAACTCCTAGGTTGATGCTTCAGAATATCCTTGAGAAATATTTGTAAAAGTCCACATTTCATGCAAAAAAATTTCTTCAAAAATAATTTTAAAAAATACTCCGTTAATGCTCCAGAATGTTCTTGAAAAATAATTGAAAAAAAAAAAATCCATCCACATCACTCTGAACCTTGAAAAATAAGGTTAAAAAATCCACCCTTGACGTTGCAAAAGGGCCTTGAAAAGTTAGGTTTACAAATCCACACTTGTTGTTCCACAACGATCTTAAAAAATCTGTGTCCGTCAAAAATCCCCGTTTGGTGGAAGAAAAGTCCCTTTCAGATCAAAATTTTCACATTGGCATACCGGGTGTAAATTCTTACCCGTATCGGAGTTTTTCATATACCAAACGAGGATTTTTCGAGAAGTTGGTCTAATTGGCCCATTTATTTTCCAAAAGAGCCAACATTTCCCAAGTAGATTTCGATTTAGCATATAGCGGTCAATAATTTCCTGGATTATAAATCGTAAGTAATACCTACTGAAATTTGATATTTCTAAGGTTTAAGGTTCAAATTTCCAATGGAAGGGTCTGAAAATATTTGGCGTCCTGGAAATTGACAATTTTTGGATTATTTTAAACGATTTGGAACTGTAAAATATGTAGTAAAAATGTCCAGAACTTTGGTCCCACAACTAACGTTTCAATGCACAACGATTATCAACATAGAAAAATAAAGTGGCGCCCAACGGTTCAGGGGTGACATAGTTTCAATTATAATTAAATAATTTGATAAGACAACCCAGAATAGATAAAGATGCCCCCTATACAAATTTACTAAACCTTTTTCAGAATATTTCACAGACAGAAGTTTGATAAAAAAGAAGAAAACGAAAAATAATTAAATTATATTTCAAATAGAGATAACTAAAAATCAAATTAATATTATCTTCAAATCCACAAATTACTATAAAAGTCGATTTATCCACTTACCAAGACATCACTTGTTCTCCGGTTATCCAATTAGTAACACCAAACAACCCCTCCAAAGCAAAATGGTATCTGTAAGTATTGCCAACATTTGGAAAAGAAAAATATTTGTAAAAAAAAGTAATTTATTTAATTTCCTTGCAGTTCGAAGAAGCCTGTGAATTGGCCAAGAACTTCTCCAAGAAGCCCAGCGATTCTGAATTCTTGGAATTCTACGGTCTCTTCAAGCAGGCCACCGTTGGTGATGTCAACATCGAGAAACCCGGTGCTTTGGATTTGAAAAAGAAGGCCATGTGGGAAGCCTGGAACTCGCACAAGGGCTTGTCCCAAGAGGCTGCCAAGGAGGCCTACGTCAAGGTCTACGAAAAGTATGCTCCCAAATATGCCTAAACACGTCGGACAACACAGAGAGAGTTGGTCTTTAAGTAATTAATTGGTAGTAGGGGTTCTATTAATTATTATTAATCATTATTTATTATAAAAACAATTAAGACAATTAACAATAAATGGCAAAAGGTACTTAAACGATGAAAAAAGTTTTTATTAAAATTCTGGAAACTATTGTTAAAATTGCACTTCTTCGAAAAATAGTCTTAAGATATCCAAAAGGTTCTAGAAAAATAATCTTGGAAAATTTTCGTCATTGAAAAATAATCTTAGGGAATCTGAGTTTCCCAAAAGGACTTGGAAAAAATAATCAAAAAAAAAAAAAAATTTAGAAAACTCCATCCAGAAAAATAACCATAAAGAATACTGCCGTTGCAGAAGAACGGACCGAAACTCCTAAAAAAACATAAAAATCCAGAAAGTTCTTTTGAAAATAATCATTGTAAAAAGTCATGCAAAATATTTTGAAAAAAACCTACTTTTAATACCAAAGAAGGGCCTTCGAAAATAATCCTAAAAATCAATGTACTCCAAATTGTCCTAGAAAAATCCATGGGATCCAGTAGGTCCTTTAAAAATAATCTTAATAGAAAAACTTTAATATAAAAACTTTAATCTTAAAAGCTAGAAAAACTTTAAGGAACGGAAGAAGAATCTAGAAGGTCGTTAAGAAATAATCTTAGAAAATCTTCGAGTTCCAGATGGACATTAAATGGACCGAAGCTCCTAAAAAAAACAAGTTAAAAAGTATCAATCGGTTCTGCCAACAGACTAATACCCTCAGCCGTTGTTCGATTATTAAAATATATTTTGACTTCTGTTATGATTACTCATACTGTTGACCCTCCATGGAATGGGTTCTGAGGGAATAGACCAATATTGTCTATTTCGTATCGGACCTAAATACATACTATATAAATATTGAGATGCACAAAGTCTGGAATGGAACCAGATGTTAATTTCGCTTTTTATAAGCTTCATGGATAATAAAAAAATTGCGAACCTTTGTGGGGGAGGTGCCAGAAGGAATGGTCCGATCTCTGCCGTTTTTATAACAGATCCTGTGTTGATGGAAATATTCAGATGTGACAAGTCTAAAGGGAATCGGATGTTAATTTCGCGTTTTATGAGCTTAATAGATATTCAAAATTTCGACCTTCGACCCGATATATTTCAACCTTGGGTTAATATAAATATTGGGAAATGTGAAATTTGAAGACCATCGGACACTTACATCACATTTTATCAGATTTGTAATTACTCAAAATTTTGATAACTTGTTGGGGAGGTTATTGATGGAGTGAACCGATATTGTGCATTTTCACACCAGACCTAGCACTGACGCAAATATTAGGATTTGCAAAGTTGGAGCAAAATCGGATTATTGGTTCTCGTTCTGTGCAGAAAATATATTTTTTGAAATTTTGTAAGGGAGGTACCAGAAGGAGGGGGAGGGGGAAGAGGGAGGTACCAGAAGGAGTAGATCGATATATTCCATCTTAACACCAATCCTTGGGTTAATAAAAATATTGGGAAGTGTGAAATTTAAAGACAATCGGACTCCTACATCACATTTTATAAGAGTTGTAATTATTTAAAATTTGGACCCTTTGTGGGGGAGGTGCTGGATAGAGTGGACCGATACTGTCCATTTTCGCACCTGGCACTGACGCAAATATTCGGATTTGCAAAGATGGAGCAAAATCAGATTATCATTTCTCTTTCTGTGCAGAAAATATTTCTTTTTAAATTTCAACCTTTTGTGGGGAGGTACTGGAAGGAGTGGACCCATACTGTACACCTCCGAACTGGATCTAAGTTTGATAAGAGTATTACGATGAAGCCGGACACTCCCTTCGAGAGTCATAGTGTGCACCAGCCAACCAGACAGACGGACGGACATCGCTAGATCCAAATGACGTTAGGCACGTTTTGACCGTATCAAGTTCCAGAAGTTCCCTGAAAAAAAAAAACTTCATAAACCCTGTTCTGTGCTACAGAGAAAACATTTAAAATCCAACTTTGTTATCCCAGAAAGCCCTCGCTTGATGCTTAAGAAGGCCCTTGAAAAATAATCCTAAAAAATAAAATTCTTTTCTTATAAAATGACCTTTGAAATTAGCTTTAAAAATTCATATTTGACGTTCCAAATTGATCCTGGGCAAAAATGTTCAAAGTACCTTGAAAATAATCCAAAAGGTCCTAAAGTCCCGAAGAGATTTTTCTAATAAATCCGCGCATACTACACCAGAAGGTCCTTAAAAATATTTTTTTGAAAATCCATTTCTGATGGTTCTGTAAGTTCTTGAGATCTTTTCTTGAAATTCATTTTTGGTGGCTCCGAAAAAATATTTTTTTTAAAATTCAAATGTGTTAGCTCAGTTGAAAGTATGTTAAAAAAAATCCAAGTTGGTCCTGTATAACAATTTTTTGAAACAGCCGTTTTGGCCCTATCCAAAACATACTCTTCGCAAAGTAGAAGTAACAACTTATATGGGGGCTATACGAATACGTGGACCTGCACAGACAATTTTCTATCTTAGGCTGTAGTATCCATTTCGAACAAATACCAAATTTGAAGCAATTCCGGTGAATAATGCCGCTAAAATCCTCAAAATACCGAATATAGGTAGGTACTGATATATGGGGCCTATACGAAGACCTGGACCTGCATAGACAATTTTCTGCCATAGGCTGTAGTATTCATTACGAACTTCAAATACCAAATTTGAAACAATTCCGGAGATTAATGTCGCTAAACTCATCAAAATACCGAATATCGGGAGGTGCCGTTATATGGGGGCTATACGAAGACGTGGACCTACATGGCCCATTTTCTGTCTTGCGTTGTGGTATCAATTACGAACTTTAACTACCAAATTTGAATCAATTCCGGTAAATAATTTCGCTAAAATCATCAAAATGCCGAATATCGGGGGGTACCGTTATATGGGGGCTATACAAAGACGTGGACCTACATGGCCCATTTTCAATAACAAAAGTCCTGCAGACATAATACACATTTGAGTAAAATTTTATCAACCTACTTCATTTCGTTCGGAAGCTAGAGTGATTTCCACAGACGGACAGAAGGACGGACATGGCTAAATCGTCTTAGAATTTTACGCTGATCAAGAATATATATACTTTGTTGGGTCTGACATGAGTATTTCGAGGAGTTACAAACGGAATGACAAAATTAATATACCCTCCATAGTATGGTGGAGGGTATAAAAAAACATGTGTTTTGGGTTCTCTTGATCCTTGAAAAAATATCATAAAAATCCAAAATGTTTTGGTCCTTGCCATTTTGTGAGTCTGTTAGTCCTTGAAAATTATTTTTATGAAGTCCTTAAAAATAGTCTTAATACATCCATGTTTGATGCTCCAGAAAGTCCGTTAAATAACATTTTTAAAAAACTCCATATTTGGTGGCTCTGCTGGTCCTTGAAAAATATATTTTGAAAATTCTAGCATTGTGGGGGTGTCATTCCTTCGAAATAATATTCGAAATATGGAGTTATGTTACTCCTTGAAAAAATATTCTAAAAAATCCGCAGTTTGTGATTCTGTTGGTCCTTGAAAAATATTTTTATAAAATCCACGTTTGGAGGCTTTGAAAAAATATCGTTAACAATTCACATTGAACTGGAAAGAATATTTATAAAAAAATCAACGTTTGAAAGCTATTTTGGACCTTGAAAAATAAATTCTGAAAATTCTTGTTTGATGGGTCTGTTGGCCCTTGAAAATAATTTTAAAAATCGAGGTTTGGCGTATCTGCAAATTCTTAAAAAAATGTACAACAAATTTACAGCTCCGTTGATCCTGGAAAAAATATTCTTAAAAAGACAACAATAGAGGGATTAAGCCTGACCATTTTGCAACAACTAAAAAAAATATTTAAAAAAAATAAGTTTGGAGTCCTACTGATCCTTAAAAAAATATTCTTAAAAATCCAACTTCATTAGTCCTTAAAAAATATTCTTTAAAATCCACAGTTTGTGACTCTGTTGGTCCTTGAAAAATATTCTTTAAAATCCACGATTGGGGACTTGGTTGGATTATAGAAAAATATTTTTAAAAATTCAAATTGAACTGGAAAGAATATTTTTAAAACATTTTTTCTTTGTCTTTAAAAAATATATAAAAAAAACCACGGGAGTTATTTTCGACCTTGAAAAATATTTTTCGAAAAATATCTCCACGTTGGTCCGTGCAATCAAATTTTCTTCAAATCCACGATTGGTCTTCAAAAATCATTTTTTTTTTAAAAAAAAAGTTATGTGCCTCGATGGCTCATAAAAAATCGTTTGGGCCTTAGAAAAAATATTCTTAAACATTCATGTTTAGTGGATCAGTTGACCTTCTAAGGACCCAAACTAGATTTTGGGTCCTTAGAAGGCCATTGAAAAAATATTCATAAAACCACACCATTGCTGCTTCAAAAGATCCTTGGGAAATAATCTTGGTGCCATAGAAGCTCCTTAAAAAATATTTTTAAAAAATACATTTTGAGAGGTACAGAAGGTCCTCAAGAAGGTTTTTAAAAAATGCAGGTTTTGGTGGCTTGTTGGTCCTTTAAAAATAATCATAAAATCCTACAAACAAAAAAAAATACATATTTGAAAAGACCGAATCAGTTGGCTCTGTAGATCCTTGAAAACCATTTAGAAACGTCTGGTTTTTCAGCAGATTCTAGCAAAAAAATCATAGAAATAGCCATGTGCCAAAATATCTTTGAATACATTGTTTAAAACCATGTTTGAAAGCTCTGGTGATCCTTGACAAAATATTCTCAAAAAATCCACGTTTGGTGGCCTTATAAGTCATTGAAAAATAGTGTTTGAAATTCCCTTTTGGGGCCTCTAATATATATTGTCAAAAATTCACGTTTGATAGGTCCGTTGGTACTTGAAAAAATATTCTCACCTACTTGAAATACATTCTCAAAATAATCCGGATTTGGTGGCTCCTTTAGTCCCTAAAAAAATATTCCCGAAAATACACCTTTCTTTGCTCTGTTGGTCCTTGTCAAAATATTATTTGGTTTTTCAGAAGATTTTAACAAAATAATTATAGAAAGTACGTTCTGAAGTCTTTCAAAAATAATCCTAAAATTGTGGGACTGGTGCTCC